CCGAATTTGCAATCCGTGAAGTCATTTCCTAATTCCAATCTAACTTACCTTCTTGGACCTTTTTTTGGACCAATTTTGGGCCTTTTCTCTAACTCTTCCAGCAGGCCCACTCTTAATTCCCAGCCCAACCCAATTCTTCTAACAAGACCAATAACACTATACTAAAAAGAAAAGGCAGACTCAGCAGCAACTTTACAATACCAAAACAATACCCGACCCACTCCCATACGCGTGCTCTTCTTCCTCAGCGAGTGGAATTGCAAACAAACCCAGAAAATCAAACCCAAACCAGTACGCTGCAAATCCAGTAGCGATTCCAGTCCAATCGCGCGCACCAGTGACTCAAATCCAATTGATGTGTCGTCTTCCTCCCATCCCTCTCACACCAATACAAGCGCAACAACAAAAGCATCTGCCAGCAGCTGTGAGTCCGTCCTTGTGGCTTTGAGATGGAGCCACATCGACGCCCAAGGACAATTCTTTGATCCGGAGCGTCAATTTTCCCTTTTCTCTTCCGAAAAGGGTTGAAACTTTAGGAAAAAGGTGTTTCCCCGAAAGGGTGAAAGATTTTTGATTTTTAATTTCAAATTTGGACCCTAGTTTCTGTCCGTTTTGAATCCCTCCCCCTCCGCCTCCCCCCCCCCCATTTTTCCAACCTAATTTCCCTTCTATATAATTTCATCTATTCACTGTTGGGGGGGGGGGGGGAGAGAAAGATATCGGGAAAGGGTATAAGAAGTTGATCATAGTTCACTTATAAAATAGCTTACCAAAGGTTTTAGGAATTGACTCTTACAGTTGAGGAATCCCTAGAGAGATTCTCTAGTTCTATATTTCTGGAGGTTTCTTCATTGGGTTTTTATTTGGATTTATTAGTCTGTTGCTCGAATCGGAATCCGTGTGGAAGAGGTCGCTGCCCCCTGCTCGTCTAGCCTCCATTCGCTGCTCCAAAAGAGGTGTAGTTTCTATACTCTTAGCTTTTCTCTATTCGTTTTGGAATTAAAGAACGTTATGAGCGGTGGTATGTAAAATGCTGAACTGCTTCTGATTTAGTTTTTCTTGGTCTTGATATAACTTAATTTGGTTCTGAAAATTGACTGGATCCCTATCTTGTTTTGCTCGAGTAATATCCTCCGCCCCTTTAGTTGTATTGTGATCCTGTCATCGAGTTGATGCCTTTGAAAGATGCTAAAACATGCCTTTTCCATTTACCATCTATTTATTAGAGTTGTCGATATTAAGTTTTAATTTTTCTATTCATATTTGACAGTTTATAAAGTCTATGCCATAGGTTGTGATATCAATTTTCCTTCATGTTGATAGGTCATTTTATTTTTTTTATTTTATTTTTTGCTTATTATGTCCTACTTTGCTCCCTTTCTTTTTCTTCACTGTTTGAAGCAAAAATGCATCATCGTTCCTTAGTAATTCTTAAAACTTGCAGCCATGGGGTCCTAAGTCTCTTCCCCATTAACCATTGCAAAGTGTTTAGCATGAGCTCTTAAAAGGTTATTTGGAGAGGAGTATGGAATTTTATCCCTTTTATTGTGTTAAGTGAAGCTTTCCTCGCTTTGTGGCTACTTGAGAAAAAATATTTTTTATTTTTTTTCGGATTGTGTACGAGCTATAGAAGCGACTCTTTGATTGTTGTACTTGTCCAATTACTCCCTTTGAAAGATAGTTTCAAGAAGTATCTTAGTAGAATGCTAACATTTAAGTCTTTTGCTTGCTTTGGGTGTGCTACTGTAATGGTGTCTCTTTTGACATATTTGAGAAGCTAGATTGTCTCACAATTCGTTTGGCTACTTACTATTACTTTCAATAATAATAGTAATAAAATAATAATAATAATAATAATAATAATAATAAAATATAAAATATTCTATTTATTTACTTCCTTACCATTTGAAATTTTATCTTCTTTTTTTTCATACTAATTTCTATCTTTTGTTGTGCATGAATGAATTCCTTCCGAGTCCACGATGGACTCTCTTCCCTTTGCATTCCCGAATTGAGCCATAAAGGCTCAAATATCTTTTCATCATCGAGTCAGCCAGTTATCGGACGTACAGGGCAGAATGTGAAATGCCGGGAGCTGGAAACTGAATTTTCAGGTCCTAAAAAACCCAAAAGAGGGCAGTATACATGATGTATACACAAGTATACATAGAAAAAACAGCGACATACGGGTCTGGAATGACGATACAGGTGATGGAAATTTGAAGTGGGATGTCTACATTTGATATACAGTTCGATATACAAAGTAATGTATCGAAATATGGCCTATATACATCGATATACACCCTTAGTATACGCAGGTATTTGGGGCGAAAATGGGCCTAAAGTCCAAATAGATTTGGCCCAAATTTGGGCATCCTCTTGTTATTGCTATTGTGTATTTGATTGTATTAACTCTCTAACCCTTTTATGTGATTTGGTTTTAACTTAATTAATTCCCAAAAAATAGCCATGTCTAGTTTTACGTTCGAATTTAAATATTCATATTCTTATCTATTACTTAGTTTTATTTTGTTTTAGTTGTCTTACAACATGTGAATTGATTACCTTTTAAAATAAAATAAAATAAAATAATAATAAAAAAAAATTCCCTTTAGTTTATCTCTCTTCCCATAAAATATGGATTTTATTACTTAATTTATTAGTATTATTATTTTATTTTATTTTATTTCTAAAATTAGTCATTTTGGTCAAATCGTTGGTCAACCGCAAGTTAGCGAACATTGTGAGGGCCTAACACCTTCTCGGAATGTACATTGAACTTTGAACCCTTTTATTTTCAAGTGATTTTATCTGTTTAAATCTTTTGAAAAACTTAGGATTTTTTACTAAAAAATTAAGTAGCGACTCTGACCCTTTTATGTTAAGTCGGATTCTTATGCATGTTCGGTTCATGCTACATTTGAAATGTGAATGATCACCAAGATGGAAATAAAGGATAGTGTGGGGTTAGTTATGCTTATTTTATGGAATTGATCTTGTAGGCATAAAATAACATAGGTAAGAATTTAAGTTTATGAATTTTCAATAAGGGTGATGGTTCAAGTATTATATAAATTTGATTTATAGGTTAGACGATGAACGGTGACTAAGTCATTAGATATAAGCTATCCTTAAGCATTAGGAAGATAGAAGTGAACCCAAGGTAATACGTGGTTACATGATATTCTAGGGTTATTAAAGTGTTATGATCTATTCCTAGTTAGTAAGATTGTAAGTTATGGGTACTCTCTAGTTTAAACATGTCTTAATAACTCATGGACTGGCTTTTTTGCAGTTGAAGAACACTCAATATATATAAACGATGGAAATGGCTCTAGAGGAAATTAATATTTGTGATCATGGCGATGAAGTAGTTGATGAGAATTATAAGTCAATTAAAGCTAGGTGCAAGTACTGTGCTAAAATTGTTTCTGGCTTTCATAGGCTTAAGCTCCACTTAGCAGGTATTCGTGGAAATGTAACTCCTTGCTCGGAGGCTCCTATGCCTGTGAAAGAAGCATTTAATGCTGAGATTCTTGCTAAGAAGAGTTTTCAATCCTCATAAGAGATTTCAAAATCTACAGGGAGATTTTTTTATGAAGCAGGAATCGACTTTGATGCTTTCAGATCACCTAGCTTCCAAAGGATGGTTAAAGCCACCCTTAGTCCCGGGCAGACAATAAAATTCCCTAATTGAAAGGTTGGATCCTTGAGGATGCAGTGCAAGAGATGCAACAAACAGTATGTAACGGAAATCAGAAAATCATGGGCAAGCACAGGGTGTAGTATCTTGCTAGATGGATGGATGGATAGATTTAAACAATCGAAATCTGATTAATATCCTAGTGTACTGCCCGAGGGGTACCATTTATCTTTGATCATCAGATATATCATCTTTCAGTAGGAATGTCGATGCCATGCTATTATATATTTCTCGAGGAGATTCTGGAGTTGAAAATGTCGTCCAAATTGTTGCATACACGACATCTGGTTGGATGATGGAAGCAGGCAAGAAACTGATGGACAGATGCAAGACAGTGTTTTGGAGCATAGATGCTTCATATTGCATGGAACTGATGTTACAGGAAGTAACAAAGATAAAAGAAGCTTTGGAGAAGGCAAAAATGTTGGTCCAATTTATCTACAGCCATGCTACGGTCCTGAAGCTTCTAAGAGATGCTTTCCCTGAGGCCGAGCTTCTAAGGAGGTTGGTCGAGATGTTACATAGAAAAGGGAGGAATCAGATAGAGCAGCAGAGGCTGAGTGACTTGGTATTTGTCCATTGTAATTTGCAATTTGATCCGGAAGGAGAAAATGAGATTGCAGAGGATGTCTGAGTGGATAGTCGGAGAAGGGCCAAATTTGGTGTCTGAAAACAGTCAACTTACATGGATGGACTTGGACTTGGAATAGGCAAGCACAAAAGGAAAGGAAAAAGTTAATTACAGAAGCGGAAGAGTAGACAATTTTATTTACTTGCACAACTGTTGTGATAAGATTCTAAATTTAGCTTTAATTCTCTCTGTTCTTCTCTGCTCCTTGAATGGAAGGATTATTTTTAATTATTCTCTGTTCTTTATCACTCTTTTAATTCCTTTTCAGCTCATCATGAACATTCAGGGTGCATGTGTGCAGTAAAATATTTTAACATTCATGTCATGTATCTTCTACTTGGCTCTATAAAATCGTTTTACTCTTCAGGTGAATAGGTTCAAGTCATTCTCATAAAATTTGCATAGATCCTTCACCTACAACTGTAACAATTTCTGTTATGTGAGTTTTTCAAATTCTTAAATTATTTATCATATCTAATAATACTAATATTTTGCTAATTCATTCGGCTTTGTATTATTTATCATTGAGTACACAAACTTTGATAACATTTATTAAAATCCAGAGTGTACTGGTAGGATTATCGGTCATCTCCAATTATACGAAAGATGAACAGGTAAGTAAAACAAGACAACATACAAATATAGCCATAGTCAGTATCATGGGTCATGTCTAAGATTGACAAAACAAACAGCCCAGTGCCTGATGGTTATGGAAGTGCCTTCTCAAAAGTGACATGGAGGATAGTGGATAGAGATATGACAGAAATAGTCTTGGAGTTCTTTCAGAATGAGCGATTGTTGAGGCAAGTGAATATCACCAACATTGCACTCATTCAAAAGATGGAAGTTCCAGAACATGCAAGTCAGTTTAGACCAATTGCATGTTGTAATGCAGTAATTCACAAATGCATTTCAAAACTAATTAGGACTAGACTCAAAGAGGTTGTGAACCATGTAATAGCAGAATATCAAGTTGCATTTGTGCACAGAAGATCAATGGTGCATAATACTCAGATTTAATTTGTCATGACCTGTTGAGGCTTTAAAATAGGTTGACTACGAAGATAGACCTCAAGAAGACATATGACATAGTGAGTTGGGAGTTGTGCAAAGGAGATATCAAATTTATATCTAAAGTTATGGAAGCTTTAGTTCATTTCAATGCTGCAATAGGACTTTTGGACAACATGCATGGAATAAAAGTCCAGCAATAACTGAACCACCTGTGAAACAATAGCTTCAAGATACTAATGGTTTCACACAAAGGGGTTTCCCGTTAGATACTTAGGGAATCCCCTCACATCTAAAAGGTAAAGTAAATTTGAATGTCATCAATTAGTAGACAAGATAACAAGCAGGATTGAAAACAAATATTCTATACAACTCTCTTATGCAAAGAGCTGGTTTCAAGTGACTTCTGGATGTCCCGTTTTCAATCCATAGCTTTTGAGGCTAAGTTTTTCTTCCTCAAAGTGTAATGAAGGAGGTGGGAAAGAACTGTATGTAGATAATACATGTGGGGAGGCATTAGGGAACAAAGGAAAAGTATCCTGGGATAAAACATACTTACCAAAGAGGCAGGGTGAATTGAATATAAAAGGCTTCTGTATGCAATTAAGATTTCGATTAGTTGTAAATAAGGAGTCATCGCGGATGAAATGGTTGCTTCAAAGTAGACAGAATTTGAATTCATACAACACCAGCAGAGAGTAATTGATATTGGACGAAAATTAACTCTTTAAAGGATATGATGCAACATTGGTACTAATTGTAAATATTCAATCACAAGTGGCAATCTGACTTTGATAGGCAACCAAGCTAAGTTAGATGTAGTTGAATTAGTTTGAAATTTTGTGTTATTGCCTAGTTAGAGGTTCATCATGTAGATAGCACTTCTTAATAGACTACACACTAAGAATTATACCATAATGTCTTTAGTTGTCTCAAACTTTCATTATTCTATAATGTGTCAATATTTGATGTACATGGTTCATTTGATTTGCCACTTTGTTTTTAAGTGATTTTCAATTATTAGCTTTTATGTCAGATCTTAATGATTAAATCAATAACTAAACTGATTACGATCAACAACCGATAAACCAATTTTTGAAATTTTATAACAGTTTAGCATGTCTATAAACTGATAACTTAAAAGTGAATCGAGCCGACCGATACGCAGTCCTAATTAAACATATTAATAGATAATTCAAATAAAAGTAAAATTATTGATGAAATATAACTAAATAAATAGTACATTATGATAAAATTTATTCTAATTACTACGTAAATATTCAACTTTTAATATGTTATTTTAAAATTATAATATACTAAAAATAATAATAAAATATTCAGATAATAATTGAAACATCACACATTTAATGAAATAATTATAGACATATAAATATCTCTTAAATTTCTTATCAAATCAAATTACTATCATATATATAAATTAAAACAAACTACTAGTATTTTGACCCTACCTTTTGAACATATAAGACACCACTGTTATCATTTTGTGAGTAAAATAACGTCAGAGTGTATTAATTGCAAGTTTGCAGTAAAGCTTTTTCTTTTTCTCTTTCTGTTTTTGTCATTTTGTTTTAAAAACCTTTCCTCTTCCGTTACTCCTATCACAAAATGCCAATCCATTTTCCAAAGAAACACAGAGACAAAATTGTATTAAGCCAATATTAGAGTGACAGTAGAGTGAGAAAAAGCATCAATGGCACTATTTCTTGATTTCTCCGCACCCCTTTTTCACATTTTATACTTCTTAGCTTTCCCTTTTCTTCTCTGATCAAATAGAAACAGAAATCAGCAAGCAAAACTGACACTACTTCTGTAGTTCTTCATACTGGTAAAATTGCATTAACCCCTTTCTTTGTTGTTTATTAATCTTTCCAAAGTTGTGATCTTTTTAGGTTTCTTTGATTATTTGCTTCTGATTTTGCTCTCTTTGTTCTTCAAAGAGAGCAAAAACAGTTTCATGAGGACTTTACTTGTTACCCCTTTTTTTTCAAGAATTTGTAAAATTGTTGAATGCCAACTTCTGTTTCTTGTGTCATGGTTTCTTTTTTTTTTTCAGTCGAAGATAAAAACTTTGACTAGTATTTTACGATAATTTTTTTTATGTGTATTGATATATACAAAAGATTGTAATTTATAGTACTTTTTCTATAGTTTTTGAATATCTAAATTTTTAGTTTAAAATGTCGAATTTATAGATAATCTAATATAACTTTACAACTAAAAGGGCACTGAGTGAGTACTTTTTTTCTTTTTTTTGTTGTTTCTACCCTTTCTACTTCCTTTTTTTCTTTAAAAATGAGTTTTTAGTTGTAGTAAGATTGTGTTTGGTTTAAAAAAAGTCAAGGTTTTTGCTCCTATTTTGGCATTGTATTTTATATTTTTGGATAAATGAGTGAAAGTGATATAATTTCCTCCTTTAATTGGATGGTCTCTCTCAATAGCAGTTAAATAGTTATAGAAATGTATTAAAAGGCTGTGTTACTTATCAGAAGTATTAATGATGATACTTTAACTTAGTGTTATATTGAACATGGAAGAAATTGGTATTGAAAGCTAGGAGTGGTCAAATAATCAAGATGGAAAGTATGGTTAGTGTTTTTTTCTGTCTCTACTAGGATTTGAACCCTGATGATCTTCCGTGGTTGTCATCGTCTTCATTGAAACCGCTAGATCACACCCTTTGATGCCTATAATGCATATTTTTTCCCATTTTGGATATAGCTCACATCAAGATTGGTAAAGACTAAAAGTTAAAGAGTATACTTACCTCTTTGCTTGTTTATCTTTTGGACTCTGTGGTGTGGTCTTGTTTTGTGTAATAAAGCCATTTGGCTCATAATTCAGTTCTGCTCATCTAATTAAGTCTCATCTATATCTCCATAAGTTAGGCGTCATTTATTTCCTCGTTCTAATATGTTATATGCTTCTTGCGCCCAAGGGTGTGCTTTGTGGATTGACAACCGTGAGGTCTCATGTACAAATCCTAGCAGAGGAAAGGTAAATAACACACTAGAAATTGTTCTTTTTGGATGTTCGATACAGTATCCTTCTTTAATATAGTGACAATGTCAAAATTTCCTCTTTTGTTAATTTAATGATGTAGAACATTCAGGAAAACTTTTTTTCAATGTAGATGAAGATTCGACTAAGCGGTTATAAAATCTTTATTGGGTATTATTAAATGCCATGCCATATAGTTCTTTTTGTTGTATTTTTTATGATGCCATACTTCAGATTAAGTTGGCACTTGCATTTTTCATTACAATCATGATTGAATATTTGTTCTGTTTTCTGCACCGTTTATTTGGTTATTGTTTAACTGATATCAAGGATCTTATAACTTCACACATTTTCGGAATGAAAGTTATGGGTGCTCTCCAGTTTAAAGAGGTCTTAACAACTCATGGATTGTAGTTTTGCAGTTGAAGATCACGCAATATAAACGTGGGAAATGACTAGAGATAAAATTGATATTCATCAACATGGTGTGCCAGTTGATCAGAAGAAGTCAAAAGTTAAGTGCAACTATTGTGGTAAAGTTGTTTCTGGTTTTAGTCGGCTTAAACAACACTTAGGAGGCATTCGTGGAGATGTAACTCCTTGCTTGGAGACTCCTATACTTGTGAAAGAAGCACTTGAAGCTGAGATACTTAATAAGAAAAATGGAAATTTAATCAAGGAAGTTGGGCAACTTCAGCACCCAAACCTTCCTTTGAAGAGGAATTGGTGCCCTCGAGATGGTGAACCAAATAAGACTTCTGAAAGTGTAAATAAAAAACATAATGGTGTGAATTCAAAAGTAGCTGGTACTTCTGTTGTAGATTCATCCTCACAAGAGATTTCAAAATCTATAGGGAGATTTTTTTATGAAGCAGGAATCGACTTTGATGCTATCAGGCTACCTAGCTTCCAAAGGATGGTAAAAGCCACCCTTAGTCCTGGGAAGACGGTAAAATTCCCCAGTTGTCAGGAGTTGAGAGGATGGATCCTTCAGGATGCAGTGAAAGAGATGCAACAGTATGTAACGGAAATTAGAAATTCATGGGCAAGCACCGGATGCAGCATCTTGCTAGATGGATGGATAGATTCAAACGGTCGAAATCTGATTAATATCCTAGTGTACTGCCCAAGGGGTACCATTTATCTTCGATCATCAGATATTTCATCTTTCAATGGGAATGTTGATGCCATGCTATTATTCTTTGAGGAAGTTCTGGAGGAAGTTGGAGTTGAAACTGTGGTCCAAATAGTTGCATACTCAACGTCTGCCTGCATGATGGAAGTAGGCAAGAAGCTAATGGAAAAATGTAAGACAGTTTTTTGGACAGTAGATGCTTCTCATTGCATGGAACTTATGTTACAGAATTTCACGAAGATAGACCCGATACAAGAAGCTTTGGAGAAGGCAAAGACACTCACACAATTTATTTACAGCCATGCTACTGCCCTGAAACTTCTAAGAGATGCTTGTCCAGATGAGCTTGTGAAGTCTTCAAAGATTAGGTCAATTGTGCCCTTTTTGACTCTGGAAAACATTGTCTCACAGAAAGACTGCTTAATTAGGATGTTTCAGTCTTCTGATTGGCGTACCTCAATCACGGCTTCTACGAATGAGGGTAAACGAATATCAAATATGGTTAAAGATGAATCATTTTGGAGTGAGGCTTTGATGGCAGTAAAAGCAACCATTCCCCTGGTGGAAGTTATGAAGTTACTCGATGGTACTAATAAGCCACAAGTTGGTTTTATATATGACACATTAGATCAAGCTAAAGAGACCATCAAAAAGGAGTTCCAAGACAAGAAATCCCTTTATGCAAAATTCTGGACAGCCATTGATGACATATGGGACGAATACCTCCACAGTCATCTTCATGCTGCGGGTTACTTTTTGAACCCAACCCTTTTTTACTCGAGCGATTTCTACACTGATGTGGAAGTTTCCTGTGGTCTTTGTTGTTGTGTTGTTCGCATGGCCGAAGATCGTCATATACAGGATTTAATCACACTGCAAATTGATGAGTATCGCATGGGGAGGGGCACGTTTCATTTTGGAAGTTTCAAAGATAAACTATCAAATATTTCCCCAGGTGGTATGATTTATACATTTTCTGTTATTTTCATCTTGACATATACTTCATATGTTAACCTGTAAGTTATGGTTGCAGCACTTTGGTGGTCACAATATGGAGTTCAGTTTCCCGAACTTCAAAGGCTTGCTGTTCGAACCCTTAGTCAGACATGCAATGGTGCTTCACATTATAGGCTGAAAAGGAGCTTGGTCGAGACATTACATACAGAAGGTATGAATCCGATAGAGAAGCAGAGGCTGCAGGACTTGGTATTTGTCCATTGTAATTTGCAATTACAAGCTTTTGATCCAGATGGAAGCAATGACAATACAGATTATGTTGTTGACCCCATGGATGAGTGGATAGTCGGAAAAGAGCCAAATTTGGTGCCTGAAAACACTCAACTTACATGGATGGACTTGGAACTGGCAAGCAGAAACGGAAAGGAAAAAGCTTGTGTTGAAAGAGCTGTTATTTATGTAAAGGAGGAAGCGGAGGAGGAAGAGGAAGAGGAAGAGGAAGGAGGAAGATAAATGTATATATAGAGTAGCAAATGTGTATTGGTAATGAGTCTTTCTCAAGTAGTGACATGAACAAAGTAATTTGTGAACAAGACATCAAGCCTAAAGTTCTTATTCTCTGCTCTCTTTTTTGTATTTGAGATTTCTGCTCAAATGAAAATTCAAAGGAAATATTAGCTTTAGAGCTTGAAGATATTTTCAACTTGAAATTAATTTGTTTCTCTTTGTACAGTTGAGTGCAGTAATCAACAATTATTATGCACTTAAAATAGAAAATATTTGCAATTGAATGTCAACATAGTTTTCATGGAAATGTTACCTTTATTGAAAGTTTGAATAAACAGAACAGTGAGAGTGTTTTGCCTACACACAATTTGAACTTTAGAACTAAAATTTTAGACTAATGGAAAGAGTGTTTTTTAACCAAAAGGGGTCCGAATTTCGATATTAAAATTAGAAAAACATTTTCTTATCAGTCAAATAAAAAATTGAACAGTTAAGGATCACTAACCGAAAATCATTAATAAATATCTATTGGTTTGATTATCAGTTTAACATGTTTACAAACTGAAAATCGAAATCAAATTAATTATACACAGACCAAAGTAACCAATAAGCACCCATGAGATATCCTTGGTATCTCATACCGGTAACCAAACTACCTCTAAGCCGTTAGTCTTAGCTTTCAATCTTTAATGGGGAAAGTGTAAAGCCCCAACATTGCGATTTAGAACGGATATATTCTTGTTAAAAAATGACAGTATATATGCATCACATTTTTAGCAAAGATATACAAACTTCAAAGGTATCTTTACTTAAATCTTATTTGGGTGTGTCGCGGAAATATCCTGGATTTACTAGCACACAATCACAAACAAAGAAAATAGAGAAGAAGAATATAACATAAGGGTTTAATAAGGTTCGGTTAGGCCTACTCCTCCCAGCAAAAGCAGAGAGAGTTTTCCCGTGAAAAAAAGAGAACAAGTTTACAATGCTTTCATGGCCTTTGGACTACATTGTGTATTCTGTATATTGCTTTCCTCAGTAGTCTCAAACCTATAAGTAAAATATGTTTCCAAACTTGAATAATATTATCTTTTCTCAAATTTATTAGGACAAAGTTCTTCTAAACTATAATAAGAATTATGAGTTTCCTAAAATATGGGAGGAAAAATTGTTTCTTTTTTTGGACTAACCTTTCCTCTTCAGTAACACCAATGAGAAAATGCCAATACATTTTCCAGTGAAATAGAAAAGACAAAATTGTACTCATATGAAAGTGGAGCAACACTTGGCAGTAGAAAGAAAGGAGCACAGTCCCTTTTTCAGAGTCAGAGCAGAGCAGAGTATGTACTACTATGAGTACTATTCCCAAAACCCCTTTTTTTACTCAGGTTCATTACTCATACTTATTGGCTTTCTTTCCTTAGAAATCAACAAAAATGACTCTACTAATGCTGCACTCTTCATATAACTGATATTACCCTTTTTCCTTCATCTTGTTGAATTTTATGTCATTATTTGCTTGTGATTCTGTTTTCTTTAGTTCATGAAGTACGCTGCTCTTTTATCTGCTTTCATTTCAGACTGTAGGAATGGAGGGGCCTTTTTAGCTTTTTTCACTTGCTCTTTGTAGATTTTCACTAGCAGAATACACTTCTTTGTATTCACAACTATTGAATATCAAAATCCCCCCTTTTTATTTCGTTATATTTTCGTCAAGAATGAGTTTTAAGATGCAGTAATAGGAGGAACAAGACAATTTGTTTATGTAGTCTGAGAGTGTGTACCATTGGATGCAAAAATATTAGGTAATCTATTCAAGTGCATAATATTAGTTGGTATCTATGCAGATGGGAGGTAGCAGTGCTCCATGAAATGAATCGAGCTCTGTGCAAAACTAACCGGACACCACGATTATCAAAACAAAAAAATATAAGGCTTTCCTTTTTAGTTCGTTTAATAAAGAATGTCTCTTTCCTTTTTGACAACCCTATGATACTAACTTTCCATCTAACATGTTTAAGAACACAAGATTAAAGGAAATTTTGGCACGTTCCACATATTTTTAGTTTAAGATGACAAGATTCAAAAGCTTTTCTCTACTTTCTCAAATTTCGTGTAAGTCAAAACTAGACAAACAAGTTGGCTTGGAGAGAGTAATAAGAATAGAAGTTTGTGTTATATTAGAACTTGTTAAGACGGAAAAAATTGTTATTGCTAGCAAGGGTGGTTGAATAAATTATAAATTGGGCCAAGTTATAAGCCTATAAGAAAAGCAAAGACTATTTCATAGTTATAAGCTTCCAAATTGCATAATAATGCTCATATTTTTCCTAATTCTTATAACAATGGTGTCTCCCTAGCTTGTTTTGCCTTCAAAAGCTTAAGCAGATGGGAAGAAATTATCTAGTGCATTTTTGTATCTATGATTTTCATCCACTTCATGAATTGCTAGGCCACACTTTTAAGTGTGTATTGCTCACATCAAATATGTTAAACTTGTGCGTAGTTACTCTTGTTTGTTTATGTATTTACTTTATGCGCGAATACACACTTATGTGAGAGGATTTACTGCTAGAAATGTATTGTACCCATTATCCATGAGTTTCGAACTGACCCTCGAGGATTTCTTGTTTCTTAAAAAGAAACCATAGCGCATTTGACTGTTTTTTTTCCTGTGTGTTCTTAATGATGATTGATGTCATGCTTTATTAGGATCAGGATTGATAAATAGGAATCAGGGGAGTTTGCTATTCACTTGAAACAGACTCTGGTTTTGTTAGTCACTGTTTTAACTGAAATGAAGGAATGGAAGTTATGCATGCTCCTGTTTCTCAATCTTTAAGATGGTCTAACAGCTCATGGATCATTGTTTTGCAGTTGAAGAAGAGTCAATATAAATGCGGGAAATGGCTCAAGATAAAATTGATGTTCAACAACATGGTGTGGCAGTAAGAAAATCAAGTGCAACTATTGTAGTAAAGTTGTTTCAGGGTTTACCCGGCTTAAATACCACTTAGGAGGCATTCGTGGAAATGTAATTCCCTGCTTGAACGCTCCTACACTTGTAAAAGAAGCACTGAAAGCTGAGGTACTTGAGAAGAAAAATGGCAATTTAAGCAAGGAAGATGAGCAACTAAACCACACAAATCTTCCTTTGAAAAGGAACTTGTGCCCCCGAGATGGTGATGGTGAACCAAATAAGACAGATATCACTCAGAGTTCTGAAAGTGGAAATAAAAAGCATAACGGAGTGAATTCAAAAGTAGCTGGTAGTTGTGTTGCAGATTCATCCTCACAAGATATCTCGAAATCTATAGTGAGATTTTTTTATGAAGCAGGAATCGACTTTGATGCTATCAGGTTACCTAGCTTCCAAAGGATGGTAAAAGCCACCCTTAGTCCTGGGGAGACAATAAAATTCCCTAGTTGTGATGAGTTGAAAGGTTGGATCCTTCAGGATGCAGTGAAAGAGATGCAACAGTATGTAACAGATATCAGAAATTCATGGGCAAGCACAGGGTGTAGTATCTTGCTAGATGGATGGATAGATTTAAACAGTCGAAATCTGATTAATATCCTAGTGTACTGCCCGAGGGGCACCATTTATCTTCGGTCATCAGATATTTCATCTTTCAATGACAATGTTGATGCCATGCTATTATTCTTTGAGGAAGTTCTTGAGGATATTGGAGTTGAAACTGTGGTCCAAATTGTTGTATACTCGACATCTGCTTGCATGATGGAAGCAGGCAAGAAACTAATGGAAAAACATAAGACATTTTTTTGGGCAGTAGATGCTTATCATTGCATGGAACTTATGTTACAGAAGTTCACGAAGATAGACCCGATACATGAAGTTTTGGAGAAGGCAAAAACACTCACACAATTTATTTACAGCCATGCTACTGTCCTGAAGCTTCTAAGAGATGCTTGTCCTGATGAGCTCGTAAAGTCTTCAAAAATAAGGTTCATTGTGCCCTTTTTGACTCTGGAGAACATTGTATCACAGAAGGAATGCTTAATTAGGATGTTTCGATCTTCTGATTGGCATAGCTCAGTCTTGGCCTCTACGGGTGAGGGTAAAAGAATGTCAGATATGGTTGAGGATCAATCCTTCTGGAGCGAGGCATTGATGGCTGTAAAGGCAACCATTCCCCTGGTAGAAGTTATAAAATTGCTAGACTGTAGTAATAAGCCACAAGTTGGTTTTATATATGATACACTTGATCAAGCTAAAGATACCATCAAAAAGGAATTCAAACACAAAGAATCCCATTATGCAAGATTCTGGAAAGCCGTAGATGACATATGGGACGAATACCTCCATAGTCATCTACATGCTGCGGGTTACTTTTTGAACCCAACCCTTTTTTACTCAAGCAATTTCTACACTGATGTGGAAGTTTCTTGTGGTCTTTGTTGTTGTGTTGTTCGCATGATAGAAGATCACCATATACAGCATTTGATCACACAGCAAATTGATGAGTATCGTGGGCACGTTTCATCTTGGAAGTTTCAAAGATAAACTATCAAATACTTCCCCAGGTGGTATGATTTATACATTTTCTGCTATTTTCATCTTGACATATAATTCATATGTTAACCTGTAAGTTTTGGTTGCAGCACTTTGGTGGTCACAATATGGAGGTCAGTGTCCTGAGCTGCAAATGCTTGCTGTTCGAATACTTAGTCAGACATGCAATGGTGCTTCACATTATAGGCTGAAAAGAAGCTTGGTTGAGACATTACTTACAGAAGGGATGAACCCGATAGAGAAGCAGAGGCTGCAGGACTTGGTATTCGTCCATTGTAATTTGCAATTACAAGCTTTCGATCCAGATGTAAGCAATGACAATACATATAAGTTGTTGACCCCATGGATGAGTGGATAGTTGGAAAAGGGCCTAATCTGGTGTCTGAAAACACTGAATTGATATGGATGGACTTAGAATTGGGAAGCAGAAATGGAAAAGGGAAGTATTGTGTTGAAGGACCTATTATTCATGTAAAGAAGGAAGAGGGAGATAATTGTTAATAGAATAACAAATGTAATGTGAAGTGGCAATTGAGTCTCTATGTATGAGTTATGTCCAGTTTGTGATAGTTATTAATACCATGACATTTTGAATCTTTGTGATTAATTTTGACATCTTTGGTCTCAATTTGCATTTGTTTTCTTACATATCCATCCTTTTGATTTCCAGATATGTGGATGAAAAATCTAGGAGTTGATGGGATAATATCATGAAGCAAAATAAAGTAAACCAGGATACAACTTATTCTTTCGAACAAACAGTGTAATACGTAACCATAGGGAATTCTCAAAATACTTGATTATGTATCTTACACAACTGACACTATTCATGCGAGGCTTCTTTTTGTCTCACAAAAAAAGTGGACCTAAAGTTTCAGAAGTCCCTCTGCTCACTATATCCTTGCATTAGGGATAACAAATTGACCAAATCATCATGAACATTAGCAGTTCGGCCACAAGTGAATAACACAGAGTTCATTAGATCAAACCAGAAATTGACAACATTCTGAAACTACTGGGGAACTGCAAAATGCATTGTATAATATAAATCTCATATTATTGAAGACAACAATGTGTACTTATTAGTTGCCGAGGGTAATGCCAGTAGACTAACAAATACCTTAGAGAGCAAAGTCTATTCCTAATTTAGGATTATGGTCTATCAAACTGCAACAGTTTTCTTCAAATAAATGAAAGCTGGATATCAACTTTTTTTTCTCAGATATCGTATAAGACCTAAAATACTCAAAATTTCTTTACTGTGTACACAAAATTTCCACTGAATGCAATGCTCAATGTTCTAGCAACAGCTAGACAATTTGGCCAGTGAAGAAGGCATCTCGGAAGAGCCAAGAGTATTATGCCTTGACTTTCTTGTATTGCTTTATCTCCTTAATTATTCCATCGGTAAGCATGTCAACGTCATTGTTCTTCCCAAAAAACTTCACAAATTCCATCTTAGGATCCATAAGATACCTGCAAATTGTATCATCAACCTCATCAAATTTCCATGCTATAGTACCATCCACATACTCTCTTTTGAAATCAGAGCCATTGACAATCCAAGCCTTTTGATAACAATATAGATCCTTTGAAGAGATGTCATAAGATTTCAACTTTTAGAAGACATAAAATATCTCAAAGAATAACTTTAGGCTGGAACTTCACATCAAGTTACAAGATGGATCATAATAATATTTTGCAAAAAACCTTTGATATGCTAAAAGCCTCAAGCATTTTGACATATGATTTGGTTGAAATTTGAAGAAATGAGCAATTGAAGTCTAAGGTGAAACAGTATTTGGATTTGCTGGTGTTTGGACATGGATAAAAAGTTAAAAGTTCCGTGAGAAAAAAATTGAAGTGCTCCTACAACTCTACTTTTCAAACAAAGAACCAAATTGATAAACAAATACTTACATGAAATTATCTTCAAATATTCAAAATCGTAGTCATGGTCAAACGGTGATTTGTCCATCAATATATCATCTCAGCGGGCTAAGGAGACAGTTATCTGCCAGTAAACAGAAATACAAACTACTCCCTCCAGTCCATATTACATGGTGTTTTTATATCTTACATTTAGTCCAAAAATGATTTTTTACATAAACAAGAAGATATTAATTATTTTTACCAAATCTACCCTTATTAAGATAAATGAGTTTTTACATACTCAAGAAACCATATTAAATAGGTACTATTTAATTAAGTGTAATTTAGTGAAAACACCTCTTACTTCCTAGGGGTGAGTGGATTTCTCAAAGGGTATGTCAAAGCTAACACCTCTTTGAGCTCACTCGCCAGCTACCACTTCCAACTTGAACTATATTTCCACTCCATTCCACATATAGGTTACTTCTTTATTCAGTGGTCTCCATCAGGAACTATCCAACTCTACAAGACTTTGATCACACACATAGGTCCTAAAGCAGGCATACATTTGAAGTGATCAAATGGAAACTGAAGGGCTACAACCACTATAAGTAGTGCTTTCCAGATGGAAGGTACATGGAGGATAAAAGATAATGAAAATTCTTACCACTGTAATAAAGTTATTTTTCTTATGCTTACTGTTTATGGTATTACCGGTATACATGTATAAATTTGAATGATCCATAAATATGTGAATGACGTCATCTAAAGCACCATATTATATATCATTAAAGGTGTTCGAAATTTAAAAGACTATGTATGCAGGATATCATTAATCCTGCAAGGAACGACCACTTTGCAGAAATATTAGAGGTGTTCCCGTGTTGATACAGGTTGTAGATATTGAACTTGCAAGGCAATCAAAACTGACATGTGCAATCATACTAGAATAAGAAGGATCAAGTAAAACATACATGACTATAGAGTGATCAACAAGGTAGTCTGAGCCTTCTTCTTCTGTCTTCATATAGTAAACCCGATAAGCACGTGCTGTTTTCTTTATTTCTTCTGGGCTAGCAGTGAGGCCAATCAAGTTTGGGTGGAACTCTAAACATTGAGTGCAAAATTGTCGGTTGCAACATTACAAGTATATCTAATTAATGCACAATATATAATCAGTTCAATCTGAAACACACCTTTAACATATTCGCCTACTTGCTCAACTGTATCTCTTTCAGGATCAACTGAGATAAATACAGGTACTATTTCAATTCCAGACGTCTCCTCTGCATATTGAATAAATTATAAATTAGAAGATTAATACATCTCTGTATGCTTAAATTAAAAGGAAAAAGACATCATGACAGCTAAAGCTTATAACTTGTGGGCTTTTCTCTCACAACAAAAAACTGGAATCATACAGTCAGTAGCTGCCTTATTGTAGTCTGCTACGACACTAGCTAACAACTTCTCCCCCTATGTAGCTGAACGATCAGATGTTCCCTTTAGGAGAATATTAAATCAGTTTGAACATTTTCATGTACAAAATGGAGTGACAATTGAAGCACACAAAAAGGATACTGTTAGAGTTTATGCACTTCATGCTCTTACTTAGTTCACATGATACTAATGCACCATCAGTTTTTCTTCACTGAATCAAACATTGACAATTGGAATGTCCTTTTAGTTCTGTTATTATTGCCTACATCTGACCAAACAAATTGGTAATCAAGTCTGGATTAAAACTTGGATAATTAGACATTAACTTGAAAGGCAAGAGGAAGGACAAATGTAAAATGGAATGAAAAACTAATGTCAGATAATACATGGTTGACGAAATGATCAATCACAATAACCATGCAAAACTTCATCCATTTTAGGCACAGAACTATGATGAGAAGGCTTACTAATTTTATCAACTGCAGCAGCGAGTTTTTGTAGCTCATCCGGACATATATCTGGACAGTGAGTGAAACCAAAATATACAACTGTCCACTTGCCAAAGAAGTCTTTCTCAGTTACTGGTTTTCCATTATGGTCAATAAGACTAAATGGACCACCAATGGCTGCTTTTCCTACTGAAGGTCCTTGCTTTACGGAAGTTGAAGCATTGGTGATATCTGTAACAATAGGTAACAAGCTTAATCAGCAAACTAGAATGAGAGGAACTTAGAGGCAAGGCAAGAATCATGTGGTAGCCTATGATCTTACAATCTTCAAAAAAATCAGTACACACAACTTAAGACTTCCTGAACAAAAGAAACAAAAGGGAAGAGTAATATATTGGTCCTTGACTTTATTTGAATAATCAATCTTATCAATACAGGGTCAGAAAAATATTAGTAAATACAATTGTTTGTTATTTGAACTAAAAGATGAAGCACCTCGTCTGGCCTATCCTTGTACAAAGTTAAATTTCATAAAATGAGTATTTAAACCTAAAAAATGGTTTTGTTCCATTAAATAGAGATACTATTGTGAGCAGTCTTATCAAAAGCGCGCTTAAGCCCTGAAGCGAGGCTCAAAACGTGTTGAGCACTGCACCTCGCTTTATGCGCGCTTCAGTGTCGTCATCAAGGTTCTAAGTCAAACTTTTCCTTGCCAATGAACCTCTTACGAAGAAGTGACACTAAACAATTGATGTTTCACTTTATCATAATTTTTTTCAATTTGTTAGGTCATATATTTGTCATTCATGTTTATAATTATTAGTATTGGACTAAATATAAACATTTTTACTTTTTACTCCCTTAGTGCCTTTTTTCATTAAAGTCCACTTTATTTGCGCTTTGCGCTTAAAGCCCCCACGGACCTTAGAGCTATTTTGCGCTTTTCACCTTTGATAACACTGATTGTGAGTAACACTAAGCCAAAACCTATGATGATAATTTCAATAAATGTGACCATTTAACAGTGTTTTACCGATATTAAATACTACTGAAAATGCACACTTACCCTATCAAAGGAAGACAAAGGAAAAACTACACCACACTATTTCTTTGCAAAACCTAAAATCCTCAAAAACAATTTCCAGCATGTGTTTTTTCCTTTCATGAGCACAAAAGTTTAGTTGTGGACCAAAGAACAAGCATAATCAGAGATTTTGCAGCGGAGGCCCTTATACACATGACAAATAGATAGATGCTAAATTATTGCTCCAGAAGTGATGTGATTTGTTATTTAAACTTATATTTGACAAAAGGAACAAGCAAAAGTTTCATTCTCCAAAAAAACAAGGAGCAAGTAAAAGTTGACTTTTGAAATCCATTGTTCAAGTACTGACTCTACATTCCAACATATCTGCCTATACACACACACAACCATTGTCGCACTATACTTGGAGCGAGGCAGTACTACAACCAGAAACCTAAATGCATACATACTGATAGGTAACTAGCAGCCTAATCAGACACGTGCTATTATAAACACAAATTAAAATGTAAAAAATTATCATCCTCCACAGTGTTTTCAAACCCAAAGTCTAATGAGCCCATAAAAATCTACTGTCAAGCTGCGTTTCACCGATGTTCTTACGTGATTAGCCTACCACAGTTCTTTTCCTAAAACTAATACAACTCACCATAGTAATCTACCTTCAATATGCCGTCTCTTTTCCCTGTCATAATAGAAAACCAATCCTGCTCCAGTGCAAAGAAGTAGAAAGAAGCTCATCCATGAAACAGGCTGCATATCAAATATTACTTATCAATCACAGAATCTATGGAACAACAGAAATAAAAAATCTTTGACACCCTCCTATAAACAGATGAAGTTGCATTTGCATCCATACTATATTATCCATAAAAAAAAATGCAGCTATCCAAAGCAGAACAGGAAAAATGGAACTTGCAATCACACAAGCTCACTACCCAATTAATTCAGTAAATAACAACAGCTCTATATAATCAAAATATAACCTTGGCCAAAACATAACAAATAACATAGCCCAGATGCAAGTGTTAGTCTGCAGGTTTTCCAAACACACTACCTTCAAACTCAATATGCATACATATATATGTTACTAATTTTGCGCATAAGGATAAATTAGGAATTGAGTGATAAATTATTTCATTTTCTTAACTGAAGTAAAATGGAGGGAGTATATGTTTGTGAATAAAGAAAAGAACTTACACTACCCCGAATAGACTTTCCCTGTTCAGTCTTCTGAGAACCACCAGAGCTCTCACGGTTTCCAGTATTAGTTCCGGTAGAAGATCCACCAGACCCAGAATTCGCTCCAGCAGAGGATCCACCCGACCCGGAATTCGATTGATTACTAGAACTTGAGGTGCACAGAAACCTATAAGAAATGAACCCATTTTCCAATCGATCCAAACGCATAGCCTGTAATCAAAGAAAAAGAAACCCATTAATCAGAAACTAGAAAAAGATAAACTTGATTCGAAAGAAAAGAAAAATGAGTAGAAAGGAAAGACTAACCAATGGAGAAAAGGGTAAAGATTTGGGTGTGGTGGGTGCATTTGAAAGGCTGTGGAAAAGATGAAATGAAGGCTTGGTTGAACGGCATTGCTGGGAAGAAATGGAGTGATAGAGATAGCGAATGTATTGATTTCTTGATATTGCTTTCGCCATTGCTATTTGCAGGATGAAAGCTTGTTGAAAAGTACAAAGAACTCAAAACCCTACCAAAACCGCAGAACAGAAGCTTTTCGATTTTCTTGTGGTTATTTAATACAGTATATTAAAAATAATTCGAAAATGTATTGTTTTTTTTCCATTTGGTGTCTCCTATGTACATTGAAACCCGATTAAATGATTTAAATCCGAATTCATATTGAAAAGTCTCATATTGAGGGTTAAACGTTCTCTAACATAGGAGACTACATATCCAAGGAGACTCGAACTCAAGACCACCAGGTACTCATATTTACTCCTTATTGCACTTATTTATTGATTAAAAATATCTTATAACTTATTAGAAATAATTAAAAAAAAAACTTATTTATTGTTCAAAAATTATTATTTTAATATTTAAATTTTTTGAAATTAATTAAAGTTATAGACTTATAATTATAATATAATATTTTAGTATTTTGAAATGGACTAAAATATCGAGTTATCTCTGTTCTTATTTGAACTATAATTTGAGATTTGGGAAGGTTAGGCCGGTTACTCCTCTTACAAGTGTTTGGATAAAAGGCATTAATAAATTATTATACTGATATTTAAGTTGAAATTAATTAAAGTAACAAGTAACAACTATGAAATCTATATACAATTTCACATATTTAGTGTTTTAAAATTAAGTAAAATTTATTTAATTTTTCAATCGAAATTGATCCAAACACCTTTTTTATTTACGTCCAAAATCCAATTCAAAAACAAAACGACACAAAGGAAAGCTAGAAAAATAACAAAAAAAACAAAGACCTATTGAAGGGATTTCTCAAAAACTAAAATGAAAATGAACGAAAAAAAACAAACATCAGTAGTCTTTTTTAGTGAAGTTATAATCATACTATTTAAATTTATATATTTATTTATTGGAAATTTATTATGCGTATGACATTCATAATGGTTACTATAAGTATTATAATATTTTATTTTTACACATAATATTGTCCCATAATATTTATGTATCACTGTTATAGGGAGAATTTTACAAAGACTATATACCATTAACGATAAAAATATAGTATTATAAAAGAGTAAAATATAACATGACAAATTGGTTCCAAAGAAAATCATGCTACTATTTTGAAATGTTATTATAATGAATCGTTATTATAACAAAGTTAGACGGTAGTTATTTATATGAGGAAGTACGTTGATTGTAACTTCAGAAATGGTGTAATCCTGTTCTTTATTTATTCAAGGATAAAGGGTCAAATATGCTCCTAAACTATTCGAAAAGGTCTAGATATACCCTCTGTTTAAAGTTTGGCTGACTCGTGCCCTCGCCGTCCAACTTTTCGTCTAGATATGCCCTTCTGGGCATTAGTTTGCATGCTGGACATATCCAGCTCATTTTCCATTTATTTAAATGTCACATGGAATTGTCATGTCATTTTAGCTTTACCACATGACATTTATATGAAAATGGAAAGGGATCAATTATGCCCCTAAAATGTCATGTGGTAAAAGTCAAAATGACATGACAATTCCATGTGACATTTAAATAAATGGAAAATGAGTTGGATATGTCTAGCAGGAAAACTAACTCCCAGAAGGGCATATCCAGGGGTAGACCTAGGTGGACGGGTGAACCCCCTCGTCAAAAAATTACACTATATATATATATATATCGTCAAATTCTGATTTTTATGGGTATACATATTAAAATGAACCCCTTGAAAACAAAGTAAAGGCTTGGCTCAGTGGATAAGTGGTTCAAGATGTGCGCCCCTTGGTGACGAGTTCAAATCCCTTCGGCAACATTTTTCCCCTATTTTTTTAATGCTTGGAAAATGGAACTTTTGGGCTTAGACCTTCTTCTTCTTTTTCATTATTTTTTCCTTTTATTTCATTTCTTCTTTTTAATTTGTTTTTGTTTAAATTTATTAGACACATTCTTTTTATATTTATTATTTTTATATCTACTATTCATGTTGTTTCAACGTAACTCTTTTTCATTTACTAACTTGAAATTAAAAATCTTTTAAATATGATGAATTATATTTAACTAGAAATTGAGATAGAAATATAATATATATATATATATATATATTTTAAAAGGTAAATTAGATGTAATTTAATGAAGAAACTTAAATATCATTAACACCCTTTTAAAAATATTAATTTATAGAATTCATGAAATTATTTTATATTTTAATTCTATTTTAGAGGGATGAAAACTAAACTTATTTGATTTATTCGTTATTTGTCGTTTTTACAAATTATGACTAACCTAGTAAATTGAACTATATGAACTAAAAAATTGACGATGTTATTTATTTATCTTTTGAATATGCATTATAATATTAGTAACTCTATTCTTACATATTTTTAGAGAATCTTGACGATTTTCATAGTAATATGTGATTGAATGGATACAAATTTAAAAATTTTAAAAAGTGAAAACTAAAGTAAAACATTACAAAATAAAAGTATAAAAACACAAGAAATTTAAAGAATGCTCGATGGAGCATGATAAAAGTAGAAAGAAATGTTTAATATGGTATAATAAAGTAAGTTAGATTTAGCATGATAAAGTAAATATCTTTCTTCCCTGTCTCGCTTCCTTTTTCATCATTTAATTTTCACGCGTTTTAGGAATTAATTTATGTAATACAGTTGATCCGTTAAAATTCTTATCAATGTATCTTTGTCCTCGATATCTTTGATTAGTTTAGTCTTTACTTTTATGAACCAATGAAATATTTTATGATTCTTGTACATAGAGCATGCCGAGGGGCTACTACGCTCACCGCACACTTGTGTTACTACCTGAACTTCTTCTTTATACTTTGAACCCCTCAGCAAAAATCTTGGGTCCGCCACTGGGCATAGCTAGATGAAAAGGTGGACGGCGAGGGCACGAGTGAGCCAAACTTTAAACGGAGGGTATATTTAGACCTTTTCGAATAGTTTAGAGGCATATTTGACCCTTTACCCTTTATTCAATTGTAAAATTTAAATCAAGGACTCGTTTGATCATGAAAATTATTCATTGTTTTTTTCCCTTTATTTACAAATCAATACTTTCTATACAATTTGATGGGCTTGAGTTTCAACAACTTAAATTACATTTTCAAACCTGGTAACTTTCATTTACTTTGCCATATTGATTCAATTTACTTGCAAGAAATTCATACAATTTTGCAACAAAAAGAAGCAAAAACAAAAAACAAAGTATGTTTTTTTCTAACATGAGAGTTTTTACATTCTTTTTTCTTGTTCTCCATATTGTTTTTTTTTGCTACAAATATGCATAAAGCATTCTATTCCAAGTATCAGGAACTCCAGGCAAACACCAATGTATACAATCTGCGAAATTCGAAGGATCTGCTTTCTGCTTATCAGTTAACAATTTGCCTCCTAATTCACCGTAAACCGAAGCATGTCCATCAATTCTGTACTCAGATAATTGTGTTATGTTAAGAACAGTAACAGGAACTTTCATCCTTCCTATTACATCAACTACTGCCTTCATCAAATCTTTGTTTGAACCAACTCCCCAATGCCCCTTCTTCATCACTGGTCTTGTCTCGTTGAAACACCTCGTACCGTTCATATTCCCCCAATCTTCATTTCTGAATTTCAAAAAATGATGCAGTAAGTTTTGAGCTCAAATAATATAATAGTCTAATGAGAAAGCATATGTTCACGTTTGTAGTTGTAGTAAGTGTTGTTTTTTTAATTGAGATTGGCTTGGTCTTCTGAGTTCAATTTAACTCCTCTGCTATATGAAATATCTTAATTTTAGCCTCCGTTATACTATGGAGAGATTCACATCCTTACTATTAACCAATCCTCTCGAATTTTGACTTTAATAGAGCTCCAACATGGACGGTAGATTGCACGTGGTAAAATACATCAAAAATGGATTAAAATTACCCTCCATTATACTTTAGGTAAGGGAAAATACGAGACGACTAGCTAACAACAAGAGTATGAATAATGAGTTTCTTCGGAGTATAATGTAGGGTGAAACAGGCAGAGGCGTATCTAAGCGGGTCACCGGGTTCACGTGAACCCATGGTCCCCTCCCGAGATTATATATAGTAGTGTTATATTTTTAAAAAATATTGAAATATAAATGTGTGAACCCACACTCGGAGTATCACATAACGCGATTATGACTGGGTGCACCTCTCTCCGAGAGGTTAGAAATTTGAATTTTATATTTATCTTGTTTTATTTTTCTTTCTAAAATTAGATAACACTTCTCTAAGTGGTAATTGGTAGCACTTTTGGCATTTTAATTAATTCAATATATATATATATATTAATTTTAGACCTATAATTTTAAAATTTTAACGATTTTCAGTAGTAAGAACCTAAATGTCGAATCGATCAAATTTATATCATAGATCAACCTTTTTATAATAGTGCACCCATCATCTTAAAATCCTGAATCCGCCTCTGGAGAAAAGGTAATGTGTGTTATTTTTGGGGCTTGAAAGTACTTTTAAAGCGTACCTTTGGTGCGTAGGTGACATGGTGGTAAAGAACACCTTTGTTTTATTAGTATCAATTGTTGAATCAATCCAATTCGCCCATGTCCTCAATGCTAGCTTGTAAGGAATGGGGGTATCGAATTCTTCATATCCCTCTTCTCCATTTGCAAACTCTCCCCATCTGCATTTTTTTTTCGAAACATTTCTTAAGCCATTTGAGAAAAATTCAAGTAGAAGTTCATTTCTTTCGACATTCTTTTGGGAAAATGAATTCAGTTACTTACAATGCCTTGGCCTTAACTCCACTCATCCACCAAACATAAGTATTGAAAACAAGGATATCTACTCCTAACCACTGTTTGGCACGCTCCGCGATGGAATCCACTTTAATGATTCTCTGTTTTGAATCAGCTATTATATGAATATCTGTGTTTGACTCAACCAAGAATGGTGCCCAGTAGAATTCAATGCTGGCATTGTATTCCTAAGGAATGTCGAAATGTTTAGCAAACAAAAGCAAATTCTTGGAAATAGTTAA